GTAACTTTTTCCAGATCTATCCTTGCAAGTGATTGCGTGATATCGCCGCGAATTCAAATGAATCCATTTTTCTCTGATGAAAGCTACATCTGCGGCCTATTTGAAAGAAATCGATCATCATCAAGCAACACCAAGGAGCATCGAAACTTGATGTAGTCGGATACGTGCTGAGCGCTACCATGCATACAGGACCACCCAAAGCAAAAATTATGAGCTTTCTGACGTAATTTGGGTATTACAATAGACAAATGCAGAGCAGATCTCATGACGGAAGCACCTGCATTCAGGTTTTTTAGAGATGTTCTAATGTTAGCGATAGAAATTCTTTGACGTGCTTTAGATGTGATAAATGAAGCGCTCTCGAGGTTGATGTCGACAGGAGCTCTCATTATTCATTGGCCAGCCGGTGCAAGGTTTTATATGCCTAGGCAATCAGTATGCGTGGACAAAACCACATTCACTGAGTCCGAGGTGCTTATCAGCCATGGTTTCACCCTCCGTGGATCCAAAGGAAGGACATCTTCTGCAAGAAGATCCTGGAATTTTATAAAAAGTTAAAACTGAACAGCTAGGGCGATTAACATGGGGCCGAGGAAGCAAAGTAAGGGTAACATTGTACCATCGAGAAACAACAACAATTCCATATCTTGGATATGGGGAAGGCGTGGGGGCTTATTCATTCAACACTTCCGGGCCGCCATTGTGCGAGCATCCCCTCATCTTTTCTTCACTTATTGAGTCGGTAATTCATTTGCTTCTCTCACTTTCCTGTGAGATATGTGTATTCTGTGCCTAAAAGCGTCTTCTGATAATTTTGAAGCATGAAAAAGACGCCAAGACCATATGAAACAGCGGCAGAAAAAAATGTATGACACCATGTGTGTCACGCGGTCCGGAAAGGTGTTAAACATGGCACAGAATGCGTTTTGGACAACTGCCAAACGGCCTTCTGTCTGACAAAGATATGATTAACGAAATCATCCCACCGAAAGAGCAGTGTCGCCGCGCTCGAAAAACGTACGTGACCACGACCCCCTCCATTTCTAGGATGTGGAGTGTACATTCAGGAAACTATAGGTTATTGAGCATGTGGGTGGCGACTCCAATGACTTTCTAAAAAAGTACTACCCACAAACAGGGAAGCGTGAAGGTGAACGTGCAAGGCACTCTCGATGGCGAGGAAGTCGCACCAATCGGAAGCGCCACCGCTCCCACTCCAAATCACGCGTCTTCCTCCGGTGCATTTGCGAAAGTTACCTTCAGGACTCCCTCACGTGAACCTCTCTTTTTTCCGCCAAAAATCCAATGCTTCCTCACCTCTCTCCAAATAACTGCCTAGACCGTTATAGTATATAGATAATTAAACAAAAAATCTGCAAAAAAAAAAAAAAAAAAAAATGACAGCTATCGACGAACATTTTTCCAGCGGCGGAAAGAGGCACAAAAACAATCTGAGAATTCGATCCTTCCCTTCTAAAAGCCCAGACCATGTTTTATTCTTATACGGCTGTCCACTTATACATTGTGTCTTTCACTGCCCTCTTCTAGACACTAAAGATTCAGAGAAGATCAACACTAGGTCTGAATCCTCCTTCTAGCAGAAGTAGACTGTGCATACGACAATCTACTCTAATCCCACAACTCTTCATGAGTCCTAATTCATGTTTCTTTGCTATGTATAACCATCCTTGAAATGCTCATGCCCTATGAAACACTTACATCGGTTTTGTCTCAAACGATGTGCATACAACGTCCCAGAATAACATTTGCGAAAAAAACACCCATATCTTAAGTCGACTCCGCCCTTGCTTCACAGAATTTTAGCTTATCCTGATCACTGATATCTGCACAGATTCCAATCTGCGGTTCGCTTCATAAACACGATACTTGCTGGCGTCTACTTCACTTTTCGGTATAGCAATTCTCGGCGTTGTTTGGCATAGAGGGGGCATTCTGCACTTCTGCTAGTTCCCTATTGCCAGTTCATGTTCGCTAACAGGGTCCATCTTTGCTAGGACCAGTACACACTTGTGAAGCCGCGGAAGACGAAAATTAGCCACTTTGGTCGCAGGAAAGTGCAGGGCTTCCTAAAGGTGCCCAGTACAAGTTTAGCTGAGTATTACTCGGCGCCTCCACAAAGCCTAAGTGCGCCATTCCTCGATATTACCGTAACAGACTGAGGTACTCATTTTCCTCCTAATGGGCCATTTCATACATGGGCACGGTAAAACAGCTCAACGAGGTTTACTGTTTAGGAGATCAGCCTCCATCTCAAGACATTCTATTAAGGCGCAGTTCGGCTTGGAGGGGGTTGAAATTGTGCGCAGTGAAGCCTGCACAGGTCTCATTGGGAAGACTTGTGAATTCTTGTAACCACTGTGCCTCAACTGTACCATTTCGCAGTTTCGCAAGAGTTCACAGGTTCCACTAGAGTGAAAACTGTTAGTTATCGAAGATAAGGAGCTAGCAAAAGTGCAAAATGCCCCTTTCGAGCCGAACAGCGCCCTGTTATTCTCACGGTCCACATACAACACCGTTGCAAATTTTTATACGACTACAGGATAAATTTGTTCGCACTGAGGGAACAATCTGACATTTCTATGATGGTCCCTGCCGCCCGTACATCCTTGCCTCTCGTTGGTGCTACACTCCTCCGAAAAGTATTTGTTCAGAATGGCTTTGCTGATTAAGAATGGCACTGTTGTCAACGAGGACGCAATCTTCAATGCCGATGTTCTCATCAAGGATGGTGTTATTGTGTAGGTTCTGCTTGAAGCATTTGTTATTTTATTATTATTTACATGAGAAGTGATACCTGCCCTAGAAGAACTCAAGGGCAACGTTGACCATTAAGTGCATACTCTCGCACCAGGGCGGAGGGAAGCGACTTCTGACCCTTGTGGGCCTGAACCGGCGTCATGTTTGCTGCGGATGCTGGGGGTGTCAGGTAGAGAGCTGGAATTGGCGCGGTGCCAGTCCGTTTTCCATCACTTACTGAACTTGTTCACTTCATTAGGTGATGAAGAATGGGTTGGCGCCGCGCTAAACCCAGCCTCCTTGGAACGCCCCGGCATACACAGTGAACAAGACGGTATGCAGCTGCTGCCGCGCCTAACTATGTAGGTCCGTGTAAACTCCCTTTCCAACTCATGAATAGTGTGTGACAATATTTTTTTAGGGAGGTAGCTCCTTCAATCAATGCTGAGGGTAACACTCAAGTGTTGGACGCCACAGGAAAGATGGTGATCCCAGGTGGAATCGATCCTCATACTCACATGCAGCTGCCATTCATGGGCAAAGTAGCTGTGGACGACTTTTACCAGGGCACTCGAGCGGCTCTAGCCGGTGGAACGACAATGGTCGGTCAGCTTCAGAATAATTTTTTAATATCCAATTTTGTTTTTCGTTTAGTTCATATTAGTTTTTCTTTTCTGCGATTTTTGAGGCCCTGCTATTGCTGTCTTGAAACTCATTCAAGATGTAGTGCTGCATTCAATTAAAGCCCTCACGCCGTGTTCGAGATCCCGGAAATCATAAACAAATTGGTAGTATCAATGAAGATACCTGTATGCTTCGCCTCCAATTCAGGCGAGCCGCTGGTTACTGTCATCCCCCTAGGCTTGGGGGTGAGCAGCGTAGGTAGGAAATGTGATAGTAGGTATAAAAAGCCGAATTAAAAGGTAGTTTTTAAGGTAAGAATGCCGGCTAGCCTATATTAACCGCACCACTAGGGCCTGGCAGGAGGAAGCGGTTTCATTTTTGCGATCTGCGGAACCGAGAAACCTTTGGAGCCGAAATCGGTAGTCGAAGATGATTTCGAGGTTCTAGTTCAATAGATGAACTGTGCCTCCGCTCATTATTAATTGTTAATAAAATATTTATTTCATACATAATCACTGAGAAATTGCAGTTTTTTTTCAGTTCTGAATCTAAATACTTTCGTTTCAGATAATCGACTTTGTGATCCAACAAAAGACAGCACTCCATTAGCCGCTTACAAACAATGGAGGGAATGGGCCGATCCTAAAGTAAGTCCTACTTTTTGCCCCTTTCGTCAATCGCTTCTTTTCGTTACCGCTTTTTTTGAAATGTGTCCAACACGACTTCGTGCATTCGAACAGATTACAGCATCAGATCATTTGCCGCTCCTCAGAAAATTTTGCAAGTTCGGACCCCCTCAGGTTTCCTGGTACGACATCCCCCCTGTCAGGCCCTTCTGTCGCTGGTGAAATAAATGGCCACGTCAGTACGGAGTGGCCCCCCCCCCCCCAGGAACACGCCTTTGTTCGATACCCCCCCTCCCACCTCCGAGCAACGTGTCATTTCTCATAGCCCAATGGAGGCGCGAAAAAGTCCTCATCGGCATGGAAATGCACCGTTTTCTGGAGCTCCGAAAGTAGCACGGCTGTGGTCAAAAAAACAATAAACTTACTTTAAAGTAGAAGTAGATGTCATAAAAAATAATATGAACAAACAATCTCAATAAAAAGGAAGTCACTGGATGATCCAATCATCCTCCTAGAGGGGGTGGGGGGGGTTTCTTGCTAGATTTCTCCCATATTTTCCTCACAAAAAGGGGATGGGAGGTATACAGCTACGGATACAGTTTTTATTTTTCTATGAAACGGGAAAGACGAAGAAAGTCGGCAAACGAAATCATTTCACACAAAAGCAAATTACTGCCCTAATTCCCGACCCAAGGTGATCCACAGCGTGTGCGGAGCCTCGGCAAAATATCTCCCTCCACCTTTGGCGACGACCTTTCCCTTGATTGTGTCGAAACGGCAATTTTAGGTGTGCTGTGATTACGCCTTGTCAATGGCCATAACAAGTTGGAACCCAGATATCGAGCGACAAATGGAAGAGGTGGTGAAGCCGGAATACGGTTATACTTGAGAAATTTTCTCTGTTCTAGGTTAGGTTGTCCGAGAAGTTTTGAGCAAATTTCACATTTTCAGTGTGAAAAAGTGTAGCTGGACAATGTTTACTATAAGTATGGATTCCTATCTCGTATTGCTGTTGATAAATGTTAAGTGAGCTGGTCGAAATTCCTCAAAACTTTCCGGACCCCCTCGTGCGACATATGAAGAGGTGTATAACGTTTACTAACCTGTGTCTTTATAGGAATCAACTCCTTCAAATTCTTCTTGGCCTATTCGGGTCTATTTATGGTACGCGATGAAGAATTCTATCAAGGTAATTCTATTTTAGATATGAATCGGATATGATTTTTTTAAACTTTCGCCCGATTTTGTACGCAGTTTGCCTTTATCTGCCTCATGTGGGCGATAAATTTCATTTTGTACACAGTTGTTAGTCACGTAAACTAAAAGGCGTGATGTGAGCAGGACTGAAAATGAAGCGCGTTAATCATTAGACGGGCTTTTCCTCACCTAGCAAGTTCACTTTAACCCACAAAAATCGGATAGAAAACAGCCAAACGTGGGTCCAATCCACCCCTCCTCTCGCACGCCCTCTCGTTTGCAGGGATAACGACTGCACATGCTTTCAAAGCTCGAACTACTAGATATAACAGATTAACATATAATCAATGAAAAAAGATAGGGACTGACGGCAGCGACGCGGCCCTTTCTTCTGAACCTGATCCTCACTCTTTGCTTCGAGAAATAACGTTACCTTGAAGTAAAGCACATTACTCGCCTTGATTTCAGGAATGCTTACCTGCTCTCGACTAGGGGCTTTGGCTCGGGTTCATGCTGAGAACGGTGCCGTTATTGATGAGAAATGTAAAGCACTACTCAATCAAGGCATCACTGGTCGAGGTCAATACACAATGTTCGACCAGAAGAGGTCTCTGCATTCTAGAGTTCTTTGTTTTTTTTTCTCAGAAAGCTATTCTACGTGCCCTTTTTCTTCCATAATTAAGTTTGAGTCTTCATATGCAGCGGCGATGTTGGGGGGAGTGACGGTCGTTTGGCCGCCAGTCGAATTTTCCGCAATTGTATCGTATCGCTTCCGTCCTCCCCAACTGGTGGGAAACTGCTTCACTGCCCTACCGTATGATTACATCCATGTAAAAAAAACACTGCGAGGAAGAGCATTCAGAACGTAAAGGTTACTGATCTTGGGGGTGGGGCGATTGTAACTGATAAACTGACAAATGAGAAAATCCTTTGTTGAGAGTTGGCGTCCTGCTTACATTTCCCGAACCCTGAAAGGGTTTTGGCCACTCTTACTTTGTCTTTGACGCGTTTGCGTTCCTAAGATTTCTATTGACCTATAGACCTGTAGCTCTTGAGTGGGTAAGCAGTGCGCGCATCATTCACCACATATAGTGGGACAGGCGGCTTGAGATATAGACAGAGGCGGTCCCAAGGTAATCGATAATGAAGAAAAAAAACATGCCAACTGCCCTAGATAGCGCTTCATTTTGGTCCCATTTTGTACGTGCCCAATTCACTCGTCTTCGATACTGCGTCCTCATGCGCACAGCTGATTCCCCCACAAGAACTCTACGGATGTCGTACAAGTGCGTATTCGGCACGCTTTTTTCGGTCTTGCAGTCGCTTTTCAGCTGGAAGCACGGGCTCTTGAAGCCGGAGTCTCGAGGCGGAGTCAGCTGAAATAAACGCAGCATACCGATGAACACTACCTCCGATGCCATATTGTGTCAATTTCTATTTCCTCTCTGGCTGTCCGTGCCTTTAAAGAACGAAGAAACGGTGTCAATATAAAGCTCATACCGCGCCTTCGCAAAAGTTAACAAGTAACGGAATGACTTGTCTAGCTGACAAAAATTAAAAATCCTCCTTCACAATCAGTGCAGAAGAGTTCAGTCGAAAAGCTTGACACTTCGATTCTTTTGGAAAATAGGTCTTAATGCCTTCCTCCTGCCTAAGTATTTTATAGTTTTTTTTTCAGCTGGAAGCCGAGGCGACAAATCGAGCATGTGTGATGGCATCACAGGCGAACTGCCCGCTCTACGTGGTTCATGTGATGAGTAAAGGTGCCGCTAGAGCCATAGCACATCATCATCGCCATAAAATCAATCCTCTTTAGTCTTTCTCTACCAAGTGCTCAAATGTCCCACCTCCTAGTTTCACATATTTTCGCACAATCCGTGATGCTTTATTTTACTTTTCATCCTTTTTATGAGAATTGATGTTCAACAATTTCAGGACATGTGATCTTCGGAGAACCGATCGCTGCTGGTTTGGCTGTCGATGGTTCACATTACTACGATAAGGTACTGCCGTAATGAAGTTTCTGGAAAAATACGGCTTCCGGGCCAGTATACAGTCGTCCTCCGGGACCTGATTTAGGCGAGCCAAACGTAGGTGAGGAATTGCGTCACCACGCGGCACTAGATGTTTCGGCTAATTGGCATTTTAATCCCTTATTTTCAGTTTGTATTTTATTTTTCCTCACGGCGCAATATGGTTTTATTGTCTTTATGGAAGCACACTACGACTGTCGAGTCTCTTTTTTTATTTTTGCGCATTAGAGTGTTTTTGCTTGTTTTTGACGTTACTTTGTTCATTTTTATTGTCGCCTAATCAAGAGCGCCGGATGGACGACTGTAAGTCTTTCGTTTATCAAAACAGCAAATATTGTCAAATACTGCATTTGAACTTTTGAAAATCCATTTTTACTGACTCGGCAGAGCGTTAGTTCACAGAAAAGAAGGCCGCTGGGCAAATTAGATACTTTTCGTAGTACTAATTACGCCACGGCTATATGCAGACAAGAGATGAATGCTAATTGTTAAGCGTCTATAGGAGCAAAGCCCAGCGAATGGGAATGAGTAGAAATGACGGGCGAGACGACCCGCTCCCAGGATCGTTATGTCCAGGGATGGCCCGCTTACTCTCATCCCCAACACTTTTTTACCAGCCTCACGAATTTTCTCACTATGTACTTTTCCCCAGTTTCCAGGAATATCCCAGTTTTTTTTTACGAAAAATTACCCTTAGGCTTGAGGAGTGGGGAGAGTGTCACCAAACTTTTCCTAGTTCTAACTATCGGAAATAGTTGTATAGACTGCATAGGTGAGGAATATGTATCCTACTAGCGAAGCCTGGTGTTATATTTTGGCGATTCCAGTAACAATTAAGGAACTCGGTATATTAAACGTTCAACAAAAATCACTTTACCTAATATCACATCTCTCACTGCTGCTGGACATTGCAGCAGGCGGCGCTTCATCCTACCCTTCCAGACAATTGCCCAACAGATTGACGACGATTTACAACTTTATTTAGCGCCGAATAGGAAACTCTTTTTTCCTATATAAGTTGAGTTTCAAGGACTGGGTACATGCCGCACAGTACGTCATGTCTCCTCCGTTGAGTCGAGATCCATCTACCCCAGAAGCTCTCATGGATATGCTGGCCGCGTAAGTTTCCTACAAGTCCTTTTTTAGAAATTCTGCTTTTGATTTATGGTCACAAATTGGTAGTTTCCAGTGGTGAATTACATCTCACCGGAACCGACAACTGCACGTTCAACTGCCAACAGAAACTAGTTGGACGTAATGATTTCACGAAAATCCCCAATGGTGTGAATGGCGTCGAAGATCGTATGAGTGTAGTATGGGATCGAGGTGTACATACAGGGAAAATCGATCCAATGCGATTTGTTCAGATCACAAGGTAGGATTATGTTCAGATCACAGGTCCTTTAGACGTCGCAGCGGTCGCAGCGACTAAGACTCCAGTCGTCATCCGGGCACTTGATTATGCGACCAAGGGTCGCGACGCGGCTGCAGCGCGTCACAACCGCGGCGATCACCTGTTTCCGGCCTAATTTGGGCATTTCCCCCCTATTTCCAGTGTATTTTCTTTTTTTTTTCCAAATTGAGCTGTTTTATTGCTTTTATTAGGTGTATTAGGATGTGGACACTTTTTTTTGTTTTTGCCTAGAGTGTTTCTGCGACTTTTTTTAGGTATTTGTTCAATTGTCTGCTCAACTGTTTAATTGTACGCAAAAACCAGAGAAATCTCAATCATAATTTACCTTGTGAAGACAAGGAACAACTAATCTGAGAAAAGCAGCCAAAACAGTGTAAATTAGGGAGAAAATGGCTAAAACAGGCTGGAAGCAGCTGACCGCCGCACTCGTGAGACGCCGCAGCCGTGTCGCAACCTTTGACCGCCTAATCAAGTGCCCGGATGACGACTGTAACTGCCGAGAGGGTACGCCACAACTATGCCGTCTGCTCGACTGCTCCTTCTCATCGTAATAGCGGAGTAGAAATGTTTGCCACCTCCATATTTCCATTCAACTTTCATGATGTAGAAAATGTATGTAGAAAATTGTCTCGAAAACTATTTCGATACCTGTTACTCGCGAGAGAGGTAGACGAGCAAGGATCACGCGGCGTATGGTCACGCGCCACTTCGAGCTAGCCGGGAAAATCAAGGTAGTCAGGAGTTTTAGGTCGCGTTTTAGCGTACTGGCCATGATTAACTTTGTGAAGAAAAGAGCCGTGGCGGGGAGACGCCGCAGGTGGAGTCAGTCTATCCCTCTTGAAACCGCCCCAACTGATTCCAACGATATCAACAGTACGTACCTGTACCGTGGAAGTATAGGAAGAGGAATGAACGCATACAGTCCTCATCATTGCGGACTGTCGGGTCGCAGCCAGCGGTTCCCACCTGTAGCCTTCCCACCAGTGGCTGATTCCTTGCTACATCGATCATTGCTCGATCGCCATTGGTAGAGCAACGCAGTCGGACGCGAGCTCGTGCCGCGCTGCGCTCGCCGCCCCCGACAAATTGCAGTGTTACAAACTATAGATAGCTTCTTTCCTTCTATCAATGATCATCTGTTTCCTGAGTAGAGTGTTTTCTAAAGTTCCTCAGACGCAATCAGTCCTCATTCTACATTCTCATTTCTCGCTACGGAACTAAACCCCTTTTTTTAGTTCAACCGCTGCCAAAATTTTCAATATTTACCCGAAAAAAGGTCGAATCGCTGTCGGTTCAGATGCAGATCTAGTGATCTGGGATCCAAATGCCACGAGAGAAATCTCTAAGGACACTCATCATCAGGTACATCTGTTCTTTCTCTGACATACGTTGAGAAGCTACCGTACTACTTTCTACAGGCTGTCGATTTCAACATCTTCGAAGGAATGGTGGTTCACGGAGTCGCCGAAACAACGATCTCTCGTGGGAAGGTGAGTTCTCTAAACATTAGAACATTTGTCCCTTCCCAGCACAGCACTAGGGACGAATCATATCAGCGATGGTATTCTAGATCGCTGGAAGAGAAGAAAGTGCTGAAAGTGGAAACGTCGGGGTCATACTACGAGAAAACCTTTGGCATAGTACGCTTCGTAATTACACATTTCAGCCATGTCCTGTTGGGAACTTCTTTGAATAGTATGCGAGCCTCCTAAGCGGGTTGGTTTGACTCGATGCCTGCTCGTTTCACACCAGTTGTAGAAGCTGGAAGAGTCCTATGATTTGATGCAAAACCATTATACATTTTCTATTTCTCATAGCTGAGATTGGTGGGAGGAACTCCTCCCTTCCCTCGACTCGCCAACTACTGGAAAGTTCCCCGTAAAACTGAGAAAGGTGACAGAAAGATCACTTAGCAAGATGGTAGGTTGGATGGGGAAAGAAAACGTTCCGGATAGGGAACCATAATGGGTGGTGGGGACGGGGCGCCATTTAACACATTACGATACTGTACATGATCGCACTTCGTCGCACGAGTGGCCAAAAGGACGACTGTCACATTTTCATGATCATTTTTCAGGTGGTTTGGTCCAATAACAAGCTGAGCGTTGAAGCTGGTGCTGGTCGATTCGTGCCACTGGCGCCGTTTGCTCCAATCGCTTTCGCTACGATACCACAGCGAGCCAAGGTACCACATAGGAACTTTCTCTACATTCCCATAGATTGATTTTTATGCTGCTAAAATTCTCGAGTCCACAAACACCTTGATCCTAGCCCCTTTGACTGCGTCAGTTTTCCATTTTCTGAAGCACCCTCTCGTCCGCATCGCATTCTTTGACCTCACACATTCCAGCTTTTTCCAGCTTTTCACGCGCGATAATAGGCTCGCCCCCCCCCGCCCCTCCAAGATTCCTCCCCTTGAAAATCTCGTCCGCGGACTAGCCACATGTTCTCTATACCTTTCGATGTTTGGCAGCCGCTAAACTCTAGCTATCAGCGCGCTACGAGGGCTTGCAATAATACCGTGCAGAAAAGTTCAAGCGCTATCTTATCACAGGAAACTTTAATCAGCAATGCGTACGCAAATTCACACCCATTTCAAAATAAACCTTTTTGAAATGAAGTAGGGAACAGTTCAGAGAGAAACTCTAATTTAGGCTATGGCTCCGCGTTCTGTGGATAGAGGAGATACCAGCAGCCAAAAAGTTGTCCAAACGAACTCCGCACCAGTGACTCACAATGAGATTACAAACGGAATTAACC